GGGTAGGTATGTCAACAAGGTTTTATTGAAAATTGGGTTTAATATTAATAGTACACTAATGTAACGGTGAAATAGGGCTTATTTGATATAAAACTCATACAGGAAGCAGTGTCAAATGTGAAATGGTGTTTAGCTTTCTTTGGGCTATATTTGTAAAAATATGTTATAGTATGTGTTCCAAAATAACGGGAAACTCCTATAATTCTGCTATAACTTAGTGTACATTATAATTGTTCCATAAAATCATTGTATGGCACAGAAGTAACCAAAGTTCTTTGTCAATTGTGTTTTTAACTGTGGTTGCCCTAAAGCTTTTTGCCATCCATAGACAACTGTCTTGTTTTGATCTTCTTCAAAAGGAGATTTATTATTATTATTTTGAAACTGAGTCTCATTCAGTAGCCCAAGCTGGAGTGCTGTGGTGCAATCTTGGCTCACTGCAACCTCTGCCTCCCAGGTTCAAGCGATTCTTGTGCCTCAGCTTCTCAAGTAGCTGGGATTACAGGCACGTGCCAACTATGCCCTGCTAATTTTTGTGTTTTTAGTAGAGACAGGGTTTCACCATGTTGGCTGGGCCGGTCACGAACTCCTAACCTCAGGTGATCCACCCGCCTTAGCCTCCCAAAGTGCTGGGATTTTACAGTCATGAGCCACTGCACCCAGGCCCAAAAGGTGATTTATAATAAACTATACAACTCTAGCATGCGTTCTTGAATGCAGGTTTCATGTAAGTTTGGAGATTGTGACATTAGAAAAGGGAAAAAGAAACTTTCAGAACTCTCATGGAAAGCTGAAATGTTCATGTATATCAAGCAGGAGTTGACTGCATGAACTGAAGTCTAAAGTAATCTTTTTTGACTTTTTGCTTAAAACATTGCTGATCCTCTGGTTTTTCAGAGTGAAGGAAACCTTTCTTTTAAGCTATTCACAGCTTTTAACAATTAAGAAATGTACACACTCATAAACAAAATTTGGAGCATATTTGTTTCTCTCTGATTTCTCCAGAATTTGGAAACTCTTTGTGAGGATCTTAACTTATGGCAATATAGTTATTTGCACAAATGCAATAAGAATCTGTTTTCTTTTGCAACAGGACACAACTGGAGAAACAGGTTATTTTACCAAGGCTTTGACTGGAATGGCATGCTTTCCTAAAGGAATCAAACTTGACTTTAAAGCCAATAGAAGCCCCTGGGGAAAACTGGTCTCATTCCTTGTCTATACCATCTCTGTATAGGTCTCCTAATCTGTAGTAAGTAAGGAATGTCACTTTCTGACAGATCCAGGAGCCCCAAGTTATCTTGGGACCTTAAGAGGAGAGAAATTTACTTAACTCATAGTATTTCAGGGTATAAACCCATGGGTGGGCTGGGCTTGAGAAAAAAAAAAAAAAAAGGTCTTCTCTGCAAGTCCTTATGGAAGAATTCCATCAAAACCAACTTTAAAAGCCTATATGGCAAATAATTATTCTTGCTGCACTTTATACAAATAATCAGGCCATGTATAATAAAGCAAATCGGTCTTACCATGATTTGTCTTTAGTAAAAATGGAAAACTGGAGCAAGAAAAATTATGTTTCAAAAACTATGGTATACTTGTTATTAAATTCTAGTCTCATCAGTGGTTTTTGAGTTTCCCTGCAATTTAGACTAACCCTGCTTATTCCTGTGGTTGCTGTTCAGAAGAAACAAGAGGGACTGGTAATGTAAAAATCTGGATCAATATTCTAATCCTGGGCACGTACTGGAATCATCTAGCAACTCTATATCAGCTTGGTTCCAACAGTTGCCCAGTTCATGGAAACCATTCTAATTTTGCTAACTTGGGATAATCTTGCTTATTGTGCTTTACTGTTGTGAAATATATTATTGTTGTACTCTTTGTGTAGAAATGCAGGATAAGCTTGCCAAATTTTTTTTTATTAATCTTATTTTATTAATCTTCCAGATTTCACCTTTTGTCAGAACTCAAGAGGTATGAGTGGCCCTCGACATACTGATGCTTTCTAACTGAGCTCCTCTCTATCCTGAACATGAGAGCCTAATTAGCAGGAATATCATTGCCCCATTCAGCCTGAAGGTTACAGATGATGGATCTTTGTCCCTCTGCAACCCTTAGGATTAAGCATTCTCTTATAAAAGCAAGGGGGGAAATGTCAGAGGCATCTGAACCAGAGCAACTCCATCTTGAATAGGGGCTGGGTAAAATAAGGCTAAGACCTGCTGGGCTGCATTTCCAGTAGTAAGTTAAAGCATTCTTAATCACAGAAAGAGATAGGAGGTCAGCACAAGATACAGATCGTAAGGACCTTGCTGATAAAAGGTCCTCATGAGGTCCCAAGATAACTTGGGGCTCCTGGATCTGACAGAAAGTGACATTCCTTACTTACTACAGGTTAGGAGACCTATACAGAGAGGGTGTAGACAAGGAATGAGACCAGTTTTCCCCAGGGGCTTCTATTGGCTTTAAAGTCAAGTTTGATTCCTTTAGGAAAGCATGCCATTCTCACTCAGTTTGTGTGAGTACACTCTATGATGTGTGCATAGCAATGAAATTGCCTAACAATGCATTTCTCAGAATGCATCTCTGTCGTTAAGCAACACATGACTATATACAGAAATATTAATATTAATATATTAATACAATAATTAGAATACAATTATGGGTTATTTTGTCTTCCATCTTCCACATTTTCCAGAAGTTTGTAATGTATTCATATTACTTCTATAGTTCAAAAAATATTACTGATGCCTATTACAATGAAAGTAGTATGCCAGGCAATATATACAAAAAAATAAAAATGTATATACTACCAGGTCTTTGATTCCCAGGGGTTTTTCAGCTGTTGGGGGAATACATTACAATGTGAGGCAGTGTATGGCTAACATTTCCCAAGTACAGAACTTACATCTTCAAAAAATGTTGCAGGCATTGACTTACATAGTTACTGAAATAAGCTACTGATGTCTCCACCATGCTAACTTAAGAGCATGCTAATTTGGATGGCTATCCTATTCTTTCTTGAAAGGAAGCCTTCAATTTACCTTAGAGCTGCCTCCATTTTTTTTTTTACTTACTTCCCACTGACAGATGGCATAGGCTGTGTTCTCCTAGTCGATTTACCAATTTTAAGATTGACTTCCTTTTTTTTAACTATCAAATTCTAATTGAATTTCATTGACTATGCCATGCTTAGGACAGTTCTCAGTTTTATACGGGCTGTAACAAAAAACAATTTGGGAGCCTTCTTTAAGGAGAAGAATACAAAACCGCAAATACAAAATTAGGTCAGGGTCTTAGAAGAGGTGAATGCCAAAGAAGTGCCTAAAGCTTCAAGTCTGTTACCTTCAAGGTAAATCTCTTTTCCAGTCATGGTTCCCAAATGAATTATTCTTTTCACTAATCCTGTATAATACTTACAGGAGAGATAAATGTAAGAATATATATATATATATTTTTTCTTACATATATATATTACATATATGTATATTCTTACATATATATTACATATATTCTTACATATATCTCATATATATTCTTACATATATATTACATATATTCTTACATATATCTATTACATATATATATTCTTACATATATCTCTCCTGTAAGTATTATACAGCATTATAATATCCTATAATTATATGCAAGTATTATAAGTAATACTGTATGTGTAAGTATTATAAGTATCCTGTAAGTATTATACAGTATTACTACAGGACATCTATATCCTGTAAATACTATATATATACACACAATGTATGTGTATATATATTTTTTATATATACACGTGTGTGTGTGTGTATATATACACACACATTTCTCATTTCACATTTTTATGACAATTGTTAAAAAATTTATTTATATATATAAATATATAATATAAATATTTATTTAAAATATATAATATATAAATATATTGTATATTTATATATATTATATATTTTTAAAATATATATTTTTATATAAATATGATATATAATATATATCATACTTATATATAAAATTTAAATAAAAATTAAATTTATTTAAATATATAAAATTTATATATATATATATAAATAAAATCTTTAACAACTGTCATAAAAATCTATGAAATGAGAAACTTTATAATCAGCATCTTACTTTAAACAACAAACATGAAAATAACATTCCAGAAAAAAAAGTAGGGATTCACATTGCATTTCCTATAGTGGTATCCGGAGAAGCTTAGTGCAGTGGCTTAGATACGAGCTCTGGAGTCAAAATGCCTGGGTTCAAATCTCAGCTTTACTACTTAACAGCTGAGAGACTCAGACAACTAACACAACACAACCACTCTGTTGCTTAGTGTCTTCACCTGTAAAATGAAAATAGTACTTACCTAATGAGGTTATTGTAAGAATTACATTCAAATTAGAAGAACAGCAAGATTATTTAGCATGTGTAAAATTCTTAAAATCTGGCACATGATAAGTGTAATACAAGTGTTAGCTGCTATTATTAAATCACTTAAAATTCAATTTAGGAAATTAATTCCATTTCCTGAGCATGTCAACTAACATGCAGTTCTATAAATATAACTGAATTTATTACAATAATTTGCTAATATTGAAAAAAACCCTAAATGTCATCAACAAGAAGCATACTGAATGAATTAATGGTATATCAAGATCATGGAACCACTAGGTCACCAACAAAAAGCATGAGGCTGACCAATATTTACTGACATGGAAAGAGGTCTGTGATATATTAGTGTGTAAGACTCTACTCACTGTTCTTAGGTATGTATTTTGTTTGCTGTATGTATATGTATCTACGTTTCTATGCACACAGAAAATGCCTGGAAGAATTCATGCCATCCTACAACCAGTGGTTACATCACAGGATAGAACTGGGAAACTAAACTTACAATAATATACTTATGTACTATTAAAGTTTTATATTTTATAAAGTGTGCATGCATTATTTTTCCAATTTAATTTTAAAAATCTGAATCAGTAAAAAAAAGATCAACCCACCTCGGTGTGTCTACAAACTTCTCGATCAGCACATCACTGTCACCGAAAGACTTCTTGGCTTCTCTTCGTGCTGATTCTAACTGTTCTTGAAATTCTTGTTCCGATCTAACGATCCTCATTCCCTAAGAGAGAAAAGATTATGACTACCACATAAATAAAACAAAGATGAGCCTGAAATGGCGAACACAAGCATGCACAACCTTACTTTTCCTCCTCCACCCTGGACGGCTTTAATCATGACAGGATAGCCAATTCTCCCAGCATGCTCCTTCAGGCACTGGTCTGACTGGTCCTCACCATGATAACCCTCCACAACAGGTACTCCAGCAGCAGCCATTATGGATTTGGATGTACTTTAGAGTGGGAAAGAAAACAACATGTGCCAATTCTACAAATTATTTCATTCAAGAGAAACATACATATAGCCCAGTCTATAAATCACAATGGAACTCTTTAAAGAAAACATTGAGTCTGAGATAACAAAATAATACAAATTTATGGTCTATTAGTTTTCCTCATTTCATGTGGTAGCTCATCTCACCTTATTTTTAATCCCAAAATACTAACATATTGATTAGAAACATTAAATATTTTCTGTAACTCAATGGAATTTCCCTATGTCGCAAATAACTTATGCATATGACAACAGAAGGGTGGAATTAAAATACCTATTATAGGTAAAACAAACTTTTTTTTTTTTTTAGAGACAAGGTCTCAGTGTTGCCCATGCCAGAGTGCAGTGGTGGAATTATACCTCACTGCAGCCTTCAACTCCTGAGCTCAGGTGATCCTTCTGCCTCCGCCTCCTAAGCAGCTTGGACTACAGATGTCTGTCACTAAATCCAGCTGAGCTTATTTTTTGAGATGGGGTCTTACTCTGTTGCCCAGACTGAAGTAGGATGGTGTGATCATAGCTCATCGGAGCCTTGATTTCCTCGGCTCAAGCAATCCTCCCACCTCAGCCTCCCAAGATGCTGGGACCACAGGCACATGACACCATGCCTGGAATTTTAAAAACATTTTGTAGGGACAGGGTTTCCCTATGTTGCCCAGGCTGGTTTTGAACTTCTGGACTCAAGTGACCCTCCCACTTTGACCTCCCAAAGTGCTGGGATTATAGGTGTGAGCCACTGTGCCAAGGCCTAGCTGAATTTAAAAATATATATATTTTTTAGAGACAGAGTCTCAATAAGTTGCCCAGCCTGGTCTTGAATTGCTGGCCTCAAGCTATCCTCCTGCCTCAGTCTCCCAAAACACTGGTATTACAGGAATAGCCACCATGCCTGGCCCAAACTATTTCAAATGATCTTGATACAGTTATATTATATTTTATTTTTTTTGAGTCGGAGTTTTGCTCTTGTTACCCAGGCTGGAGCGCAATGGCGCAATCTCGGCTCACCACAGCCTCTGCCTCCTGGGTTCAGGCAATTCTCCTGCCTCAGCCTCCTGAGTAGCTGGGATTACAGGCACGCGCCACCATGCCCAGCTAATTTTTTGTATTTTTAGTAGAGACGGGGTTTCACCATGTTGACCAGGATGGTCTCGATCTCTTGACCTTGTGATCCACCCGCCTCTGCCTCCCAAAGTGTTGGGATTACAGGCGTGAGCCACCGCGCCCGGCCTGATACAGTTATATTTTAAAAGATATAAACTCATACCTCTTTATACCCATGTCTCTAATTGCAGATGAAGGAGGACCTATAAAAATAATTCCTTCTTCCTTACAAAGTTCAGCAAATTCCATGTTTTCTGAAAGAAAGCCATATCCTGGATGGATAGCCTAGAAATGAGAAATAAAATGAAAACTTACTCATTAGTGCTCAGCTGTCAACACCTTAAGGCAGGTGAAGCTGTCTTCCTCAGAGGCCTCTCCCTACACTGCTAATAGTATGATCGCTATCAAAATCTGTTTCCAAAGAAACATCTGAAACATTCAGAGGAAAGCTCTGAAGCCTTACCAAAACCAGACGAACCTGGAGTTCTTTTTATTGAGAAAATATATACATAACAAAATATTTGCCATTTTAGTCACTTTTAAGTATGTAACTCAGTGGCATTAAGGACACTCAATATGATGAGCACCACCATCCACCTTCAGGATGTTTTGGCCTCCAAACGTAATTCTCTGTTCCTTCCTTTTCCTTAGTCCCGGGTAACCAGCATTTTACTTTCTGTGTTAATGAATCTGCTTAGCCAAAGTACCTCACATACGTGGAAGTGTATAATAATTTGTCTGAGTTTGGCTTATTTCACCTAGCATAATGTTTTCAAGGTTCATTCATGTAGCACGTATCAGAATTCCATTTTTTTTTTTTTTTTTTTTTGAGACGGAGTTTCACTCTTGTTACCCAGGCTGGAGTGCAATGGCGCGATCTCGGCTCACCGCAACCTCCGCCTCTTGGGTTCAGGCAATTCTCCTGCCTCAGCCTCCTGAGTAGCTGGGATTACAAGCACGCGCCACCATGCCCAGCTAATTTTTTGTATTTTTAGTAGAGACGGGGTTTCACCATGTTGACCAGGATGGTCTCGATCTCTTGACCTCATGATCCACCCGCCTCGGCCTCCCAACCATTTAAGGTTGAATAATATCCAGTTTGTATACATTTTGTTCATCCATTCATCTCTTCATGGACATATGTGCTATTTCTATACTCTGTGAATATTGCTGCTAGGAACACTGATATACAAGTATCTATTTGAGTCTCTGCTTTAAATTCTTTCAGCTGTATACCAAAAGTGGAATTGCTGGATCATATGGGACAGAAGTTTCTGTATTTAAATTCAAAACAATATTGCAATTAGGGTAGAATGTCAAGAAGTAAAGGGCTTCAGCGTGGTGAGGGGAATTTGTCTATTCTGTCTCTGTGTAAAACTGGCCTAGAATTGAAATCATGGCATCCAAAAGCTGAAAAGAGAACACTGGCTCAATACCTCATTTATCTTCAGGTCACTGTCTACCAATGTCATCTTTCCAGAAAAAAAGCTAAGAAGCAAATGAAAGTCATATATTCAAGTCTACAGGAGTGCCCCCTTATCCAGGGGGTATATATTCCAAGACCCCTGGCGGGTGCCTGAAACTATGACTACTACATAACTGGACTGATAACAATTGGACCATGCTTCTGTTCATGTCTTCCAGCCACAAATGTAATGCCTTTCCCATCTTAACTAAGCACTTATACCATGCACTGTGGCCATAACTTTTGCAGCTTGAGGCGCAACAGGAAAATAGCATGAACTTGTTTTTCCTTCTTCACAATTTCACAGATAGAAACTTGGTTCTTACCAAGAACCAAGAAAGCTCAGCATATGTATTTTTTTCTTTCCTTGAGAATTTTCACCTTTTCACTTAAAGCAGCATTTTATGGCTTCTCTTTGGCATAAGCGAATTGCCACCGTCATTACTCGTGCACGTTGGGGCCGTTATTTAAATAAAATAAGGGTGACTTGAACACAAGCATGGCAGTACTCTGACTCGATCTGATGACCTGGATGGCTCCTGAGTGACTAACAGGTGGGGAGCATAGACAGCATAGAGACTCTGGACAGAGGGATGATTCACAACCTGGGAGGGACAAAGCAGACCGTGTGGGACCTCATCATGCTACTCAGAATGGCGTGCAATTTAGAACTTAATGATTTCTGGAATTTTCTATTTAATATTTTCAAACCATAGTAGACTGCAGGTAACTGAAACCAGTCAAAGCAAAACCATGGATAAAGGGGGACTACTGTATGCATACATTTAGTGAAAAAGGCATCCCTCTGACTTCAGCCTAGTTACTTCTAATTTACTCAGAATTTTAACAAACATACTTACTGGTATTTTAGCCCACAGAAAAGGAAATTCAGTAACTGGAGGAGAGCAAGATTTCTAAGAGTGAACACACCGACAGCAAAAAGGGAAGAAACAGAAGAAAGCAAAGGCAGAGTGGGCTTGGATGATTTAATGAGTGATGAAGCCACTCTCTCTTCAACATCAGTAGCTCTGAGGGGATCTGTTCTTCTAAAATAATGAGTATTATAATTATGACCAAAACAATGTAAAAAACAAAAGCTTAGCCAACCCTATTTCAAAACAGTTACATTCAAAGAACATTTCAAGATTAAAGGGGTAAGTCTCAGATGTCTGGGAAACTTACACGTACAGAAAAACCCACATCCTAGTGACAGGAAACAGTAAAATGCCAGATACGATAAAAATGCTCGATAGTCACATTTTACATTTTACAGCCAGTTGGGAGTTTATTTTAAACCAAGATTCAATTTTCTAACTTTTATTTTAGGTTTCGGGGTGCATATGAAGATTACAGATGTGAATAAATGTCACAGAGGTTTGCCGTACAGACTATTTCATCTCCCACGTACTAAGCCCAGTACTCAATAGTTATCTTTTCTGCTCCTCTCCCTCCTGCCTTCCCCACTCAAGCAGAGCCCAGTGTCTTTTGTTCTTCTTTGCGTTTGTAAGTTCTTATCATTCAGCTCCCACTTCTAAGTGAGAACATGCAGTATTTGGTTTTCTGTTCCTGTGTTAATTTGCTAAGGATAATGACCTCCAGCTCCATCTATGTTCCCAGAAACAGATGATACCATTCTTTATTACGGCTGCATAGTATTCCGTGGTGTATATGTACCACCTTTTCTTTATCCAATCTGTCACTGATGGCCGTTTAGGCTGATTCTATGTTTTTGCTATTGTGAATCGTGCTGCAAAGAACATACGTAAGCATGTGTCTTTATGACAGAATGATTTATATTCCTCTGTGTATACAACCAATAATGGGATTGCTGGGTCAAATGGCAGTTTTGCTTTTTGCTCTTTAAGCAAATCATCCTGCTGCTTCCCACAATGGTTGAACTAGTTTACACTCCCACCAACAGCGTATAAGTGTTCCCTTTTCTCCACAGCCTCCTGGCGTCTGTTATTTTTTTTTGTCTTCTTAGTAATAGCCATTTTGAATAGCATGAGATGGTATCTCACTGTGGTTTTGATTTGCACTTCTCTAATGACCAGTGATATTGAGCTCTTTTTCATGTTTGTTGGTCACATGTATGTCTTCTTTTGAGAAGTCTCTGTTTATGTCCTTTGCCCACTTTTTAATGGCATTGTTTTTCTCTTGTACATCTGTTTAAGTCCCTTATAGATGCTGGATATTAGACTTTTGTCAGACACAAAGTTTGCAAATATTTTCTCCCACAATTTGAGTATTTATATACAATGGTCAAACATTTATACTAGGCAAATGAAACAGACCTATGTCCTAGTCCTCCCTGGTTTGGGTTTTCTTTTGAGATATGATTTATAATACATAGCATTCATCTATTTATAGTTTCATGAATTTAGTTAATCTATACAATTGTGCAACTAACACTACAACCTAGTTTTAGAACACTTGCATCACTTCACGAAGTTCCCATGTGCTCACAGGCAATCTGTTCCCAGGCCCAAGCAACAACTGACGTGTTTTTTGTCTCTATAGTTTTGCCTTAAAAAAAATCCATACAAATAGAATCGTATAGTACATAGCATTGTCTGCTTCTTTAACTTCACATAATTTTTCAAGGTTTACTCATGTTGTTGAGTGCATCAGTGGCTCATTTATTTTTATAATATGGATTCCGGGTTATGGATATGCCACATTTTGTTTACTCATTCATTTGAATTGTTTTCCAGTTTGTGGTTATTATGAATAACGGTGTTATAAATGTTCACAGACAAGTCTGTGTGAACATATTTTTCATTTCTCTTGGGTAAATACCCAGCAGTGCAATTGTTTTGTCATAATATGTTAAGAATACATTTAACTTTTCAAGCAACAGCCAAACAATTTTTCTAAAGGGATGATTTTATTTTGCATTTCCACTAGCAATGTATGATGCTTTCAAGTGTTTCCACATCCCTGCACACGTTGTAATGTCAGTTTTTTTTTTTATTTTAGCCAAACTAGCGGGTGCATAGTGTTACTGTACTTTTTAAACATAGTTCTTGAGATATAACTCACATACCCTAAAACTCAGCCAACCAACCCAATGATTTTTAGTATACCTGGAGTTGCACAATCTCACTATAAAATACTAACATCTAATAATTTAAGTTTTTAACACCCCAAAAAAGAAGTCCTGTGCCTATCAGCAGCCATTTCCCATTCCCCAAATACCCCCCGCCCTAGGCAACTGTGAATCTACTTTCTGTCTCTACAGATGTACCTATATGAACATTTCATATAAATGAAATCATATAATACCTGCAGTCTTTAGTGACTGGCTCTGTCACTGAACGTGATGTTTTCAAGGTTCATCCATTTTTTGACACAAATCAGTACTTCGTTCCTTTCTGATGGCAAAATAATACTCCACTGTAGGGCTATACTGCATTTTATTTATCCTTTCATCAGTTGATAGACTTTGGTGTTGTTTCCACTTTTTTGGCTACTGTAAATACTACTGTTATAAACATTCAGATATAAATTTCTATGTGGATGTATTTTCATTTCTTTTGGGTATATACTGAAGAAGTGGAGGTACTAGTTCATAAAGTAACTCTATGTTTAATCTGTTGAGAAACTGCAAAACTGTTTTCCAAAGTGGCTGTACCAGTTTACCTTCTCATCAGTAATGGAGAAGGGTTGCAATTTCTCTAAGTCCTCACCAATACTTGTGATCATCTCTTTTTGATTATAGTACCCTAATGAAGTAGTATCTCACTGAAGTTTTGATTTGTAGTTCCCTAACAGCTTACATGTTGAACATCTTTTAATGGGCTTTCTGGTCATTTGTGTA